TAAGCCAAGGCCCCCGATCTCAGTAGCACATGATGAAGAGAGCACAGTCATCTACATCTGTATCTGCTCTATCAGGGATTCAAAGTAACTAAGTGTTGAATTCCTCATACTTCACCCACTCCACATGATACATGCCTGTAAAAGTGCAGTTAGCAGGGTACTTGGGAAACAGAAGTCACAATTGAACTTCCAAAGTTCAAAACAAGAGGCTGAGACATCAGAATGTTAAGATTTCTGTCATATTTTAGAATAGTAAGCTTAATCTGCACTCACATTCGCTTCTGGTTGTTACAGAAAAAAAGATTTTGGCATGCCAAGCATGCCAGAGTCAGGTGAACTCAAGTGAACTGTAACATTTTTGTCCCACTGTTGTCATGACTTTGTACAAATAAACTAAGATAATAGTGTCTGGGTCTGGCAAGTTCTGACAATAATTTGATAAGGAAAACATAGTACTGGGAAACATGCAAGACAGCCGGACACTCGGCATTTAATTTATAAACTTTTGATGGCTACATGCTCCAAAGGAATTTTTCACTGTGAGAAGGTATATATTCAACATTAGAACCTTGATTTGCAGAGGTTCTTGGCCCTGCCATATTTGTTCTGTTTCTATGTTACCAAGGAATCAGAGCAGGTTTTATACGTCTGGCAGTTAATGTTAACCCACTGTTTTCTGGACCTCTAGTGTCAAGAGTTAGGAAAGCCTCTCCATCTCTTAGCAGGCACTCGTTGGTAAGGTTGGCCTGGCATCGGGTGAGAGCTGCAAAGTGCCCCTTTCCTTTGTCCTTATCCTGTCCCTTCTAGAGGATATTTCAGTTCAACTGAATGGAACAAGAAACAGACTATTCCTAAGAGAATGTGATACTTCTCTTTTGTCTTGAAGTTGTTAGTTTCATTTTCCATCTTAATGCCCCACCCCAAAGCTAACCTAAAATGTAGGTGGTATAGGATGTGTAATCCCAGAATCCTGCAGGCTAAGTGGGAGGATCTGAGTTCAAAGCCAGCCAGGGCTTCAAGCAGGGACTCTAGAAGGGAAAGTGAGTCTGAAATGAAAAGGCATTTATAATGTATTGTTAAGTGGTACCAGGCATGGGATACCTTCTAGTGCTTTCTGACTTGGAGAGAGAGACACTTTGTGAATAAAATGCTTCTACTGGTTTGGACCAAAATCAGGTTTTTGTTTTCAAAGAGAATAGTAATAAACTTCCATGCTTAGTTACCCTTTAGTAATTTTTGTTAAGGCAAGTTAATGTCCCTCCTGATTGTCACAAAGCCACCTGGTGTACTCACTGCTTTCTCATTTCATTTCAAATTGCATTTATCTCTGAATTGAAAATGCTTGAGGATTAAGTGTTAGTAAAACTTAAATAGGCTAATTATATTGTTACATAAGCCCTTCCTAGAAGCCTCATGTAAAGGTGGAGGAGAAGACAGGCCCTCCCTAGACCTTATTTAAAAGAAGTTTCTTTCAGCAATGGTTAGGTGGCTAAGTCAGGCACCAAGACTATCTTGAAAGATGCTTGGCCTAAATTCAGGATTTTAAAAGGCAAAGACTGGCAGAACACCTGCCTCAAATGTGCAAGGCCCTAAGTTCAAACCTGAGCTCTGAAAAAAGCAAACAGCCCATAACAAAGGCATGTTGTTCACGTATACAGTAATTAAAACAGATGAGGATGTTTACTGCTTAGAAAAAGTAACATTTTAGGACTGTGGGTAATATATTGATATGCACATTAGAATCTGGAGGTTTCTTTTGTAACGGGGAGGTAAGATACAAAGTGAATATACCACAGGGCCATATGTAATGGGGTTATAAGGAAGCATATGTAGAAGATAAATTCCAAGTATACGTTGTATTAGTGCTCACAGAGGGTTAGCTATGACATCTCATTGAGAAATGGAGAGAGGGACACTATGTTCACAGACTGGCCGAGGAGCAGAGTTTGTGTTCAGGTTGTGGAGAAAGGCATCCACTGACAGGTCCATGCTGTGACAGGGCAGGTAGGAGTCTGAGGTAAGGAGAACAGAGACATCTAGACAAGCAGGTGCAGAAACAAGGGCTTTGAGAGCAGTTCTGCTGTGTGGAACTTGAGGGAGAGAAACAGATTGGCAGGAGTGAAGAATCTTGAATGCTGGGTGAAAGCTGCTCAGCTCCAGGCAGCAGGAGCACCAAATGTTTGCTGCTTTGGGAGACTCCTCATTTAGTCAGTATTAATGGACAGATACACAACGGGAACAAGGTACAGTTAAGCAAGAAACAAGATTTCTGCTCATATAGAGCTTATATTTAATGAGACAAAGATGATAAATAAGCTAGGGGTGAATAATAGTTTCCCTGGAAAGAAAAATCAAAGCAAGAGATAAGGAGTGAAGAAAAGGCAGGGTCAAAGTGTACAGTGGTTGACCTGGGTGAAGTGAAGGGGTCGTCTTACTAGGGAGAAAGCTTTCCTGGGAGAAGTGGAGGCTTTGAATGCAAGATGAGCAGAAACTTCCTGCTGGGGCGAGAGTTGATAGGGAGTAACTTTCGGTGTGACCTAGGAAGGAAATATTGCAGTTCTCCATGTTCTGGTAGAGTGGAGTTCTGTAGGTATGATGGGAGGTAAGGGACCGTGCTGCCATTTTGATTCCCTGGGGTAGCAGAGGTAAGTAGGCTGTCACAGTCCTCCACTTGAGCTAAGCCTCCAGAAGCCGAGTTGGATATTTTGGAGAATTTGGAGGATATGCTAGATGTGCTTATCCTGTATATATGTCCTACACGGGTGCACTGTGTAGGACACTTTGGGGGCAGCTGGAGCTGGGTGCCCTCCTTGGCTTCAGCCAGCTGTCCTGGGGAGGGCTCAGCAAGCAAATGCAGCAACTCTTGTGACTTCTGGGATTTAGAATGAACAAGTGCTGAATTGTGTCATCACAAACTAGGCGAGCCTGAAGGAGAGGAAGGCAGCACAAACCAAGGTCCACTGTGGACATGAGTATGTGGCACCTGCGGAATATCCTGGAGGCACTGGCCAGCCCACAGGTGGACAGGGGAGTGAGGTCTGTCTCCGATTTTGAATGTGAAATGTCAGCTCGGCAGTCAAGTGGAGTCCGTAGAGTTGGAAGTTTGACGTGAAGGGTCTAGAGGGGGCTGTGGACATGCCTGAGGGCATTGCTCTGAACAAGGTTGGTGACTGCCTTTGGAGTGCAGTGAGGCACCGGGGAGTGTGCACAGCAGTCAACGAAGGATTCAGGGGCGATACTGTGGTTTGAGGCCGGGGTAGAAGGGAGTGTACAAGAGGGTGGTATTTTATAGTATGGGGAGTCATGAAAATGGCTTTATATGTTCAATGAAGCTGTAATCAGTGTCAGCTATTTTAGGGTTCGGTTCTAACCCCGGGCTTTGCCTGCAGAAAGTATAAAAGGAATAATGAGAAAAGAAACTCAACAGTGGCAGACAAGTGGGAAACAAGAAATTTCTAACAGGTGATCAGTCTCCTGTGGCCTGGTAGTACAGAGGAGGTGAGGATTCAAACTGGTCATGGGCTGGAGAGATGGCTCCTTCATGAAGAGCACTTCCTGCTTTTGCAGAAGACAGAGGTTCAGTTCTCAGCACCCTTGTGGGCCATTGATAAACTTTCTATCTGTGGTTCTAATGAATCTGATTCCCTCTTCTGGACACATCAGGCACTGCATTCATGAATGGTGGCTCATAACCCAAGAGACTAACAGAACCTGTTTTTACCACCTTTCTTAGAAGTCAAACAACTACAAATGGAAGAATGATGTTCACGTGCTTTCAGAATCTTCATGGTAAAAGCCCCTTTTCTCACTGGCTCTAGAGCAGCATCAACATAGAGGCTGGCACGAACAGTGAGGGGGCAGGCAGGGGAGTTTGTGGGCTGAAGGAAGAAGCATGGGCTTGTGGGTGATACCAAGTAAGCAGTGGTGTTTAGGGATGACTACACATAGCTAGTTGGGCACCCACACTTCAGTCCTCCACAGACTCTCAGATGCCCATGGATCTCCAAGAGGGGAGTTTAGTATTTTAAGAACATATCTAGCCATAGAGCCCTTATTTTCATGGAGAATCTTTTGGGCTGGTTTCTGGGACACTCTCAGTGCTAAGTTGGAGGAGTTCAGCAGTGTTCAGCAGACAGCTTTAAAGTTCACAGTTCACAGTGAAGGGAACATCAGGTTTCAGGTCTGGAAGGAAGCTGCCCCAGAATTGTGGCTTTGATCCTAGAGAGCTGGGCTACTCTGTGCTCCAACTAGACCAGTGTGTCTACCCGAGACCCGTTCAGTTGAGTCGTCAGCATGGGTGCTGCTGCTGCAGGATGTAAAGTTGGCAGTGTGTGATTAGTGGTGTCTGGGATTGTAATCAACAGGGATGGGTAGTCTGAAAGAAAGCAGGACAAAACTGGGTGGTCTTAGAACAACTAGCCTTTCCATGTCACTATAAAGCAGGCAACTCTCAAAAATAGATGCACCTTAAGCCTTGGAGCATTTTGTAGTGGGAACTTGCCCTTTAAACAGTGTCCTGTGTGCTGAGCGTGCCCCAGTTTACGCCAGCCATCCAGCAATAGTCGGGACTCTCCGTGAGGAGCAGCTCTGTTCTTCCATTTACGGTGATGTACACTTGCTTCTCAGCTTTGCAAGGAAGTCAGTGACTAGTGGGGACAGTGATGCTGGCAGGAATGAGACATTTACGCAGCCAAGTTAGTGTTGGTATGTGATAAGACTTTTACCCATACAGACTTGTTGAACATAAAGAATTTTCCTTTGTCCTAACTGCAGACGTGTTATGAGCTTCCAATGTGTGTCAACATTCTAGTCTCCTTCCCATATATCTTATTGCTTAACTTTCTATCAGTCCTGGTAAAAGAAAAGTCCATGTATGTTCTTTAGATGTGTACCTAAGATAGTATCTAATCCATCCAGTGGAAGTCTTCAAAGCACGTGGAAACGACATGGCAGCCAGTGTTTGCTTTCTCCCACAAATATCTGGCTTTTCTTGTTCACAGGTAAAGTCGGTGATCAACCTTCTGTTCGCTGCATATACTGGAGATGTGTCTGCCCTCCGAAGGTATGCTCACAGGGCAGCGAGGCTGCGGCTCAAGCCGTCTAAAGGCTGCCGTCTCACTAACCCTCTAGTAAGCCACCCACGCAAGATCCATACCTCCCCACTGCCACTTGGCCTCCTCCCCACTTCGGTGTCAGACCTCTTAACTCCTGCTGCGGTAAAGCCCAGGCCTCTGTGGTAACAGGCTGCTGGTTTACTGTAATGGATCTTGGATGAGGCAGGAGACAGGGTGTTTGGTGGTGTGTCTGTCACCAGGATTAGAAAGGCCACGAACTACTGGATACCCAGTGTACGTTCCCTCTCACAGAGTTGCACCTGACCTTTAAAATGGACGTGGCTCAGCTGCTTTAAGGGCTCATTGGTACTTGTAAACAGGGTAGGCTTAAGAACGGGAGTCGCACTGAAAATGCAGATTGCTGCAGGCATGTTTGCCCCTTTAACGCAGCTCTGCCACTATCTGAAGTTTAAATAGTGATGTGATGAACCTTAGTTCTAGGAGAGACGACTTTATCTTACTCCACAGTAGCGAAGCTAAGGAAGAGGGGTCGCACAGCATTTATCCATAGTCTGGGAGAGCATGAAACCTGAATGAGGCCTGAGATTGAACTGACAGAGTAAATGTTAGTACTGAATTAAACTTATCTTCTGTAGTGAATCACTGTTTTTGAACTTTCAGATTTGCTTTGTCAGCGATGGACATGGAGCAGCGGGACTATGACTCCAGAACAGCGCTCCATGTAGCTGCAGCAGAGGGTAATACATAGGCCACTTATTTATAGTTTCTACAGATGTAAACTCTACTCCAGACTAAAATATGTATTTTTTGTGTGTTGGGGAGTACAGGCCATGTTGAAGTTGTCAAGTTTTTGCTGGAAGCTTGCAAAGTAAATCCTTTCCCCAAGGATAGGTGAGTATTTCTGTTACCTTCTAGCATAACTGATTTCAGTCCCAATTTGAACACACAGCATTGTAGTGTCAAGTGGCAGTTACATGTGAATCCACCACGGGACTTCTACATTCACCGTGTCTAACAAAGGCACAAGGGAAACCGTGCAGTCTGTGTGCCATCAAACTCCATAGCCAAGAGTTGTGTCTTACTCAGCAATGTCAGGTGTGACCACCAGTCGGCACTTATGAGAAGACCCTTCTTTGTATTTGAAGAGAAAATGGGAATTCTGTTCTCACAGGACTTTTAAATGTACGGGGCAGACAATACAGAAGTGTGGGAAAGTTTGTAAGGAAACTGTTCTTGAGTTGGAGCTGCTTGGTATTCCTGGATGTGTTGCAGTTATTTTCAGAAGGCTTTGTGGACGCTGGATTTTAAGTAGTACATTGGCGGAGAGCATTGAAGGCACTGAGCGCTGCAGGGTTATCTGCCTGCACTGGGAAGGATTTCCCAACATTCTGCGTGTCTGTGCTTCCTCCTGGCTCATGTGGCCACCTCCTAGCATGGGGCTGCAGGCACCACTAAGCATGCAGCACTGTGCTCAGTACTTGGGCACCCCACCCTGGATTGGAGTGGCTGAGCCATCAGCCTACAGTAAGGAGAGGGGCTTAGAAGAATGCAAGGATCCGCACTTGGTGCTGTTTGATAAGTAGATTTGGAAGAAGCCTGAGAGATGCATGGAGTTAGGAGCAGGTTGGCTGCCACAGCTAGCTGACTGGATTGCTAAGTCCTTGTTTTCAGGGCCTCAATCTTCTTGGTTTGCCTTCACAAGATGAGAAGTTTAGTGTAAGTATCTGAACTTTGCTAGCAATTTTGTGAGGTAACGTGTTGGCTATCTCCTATTCCTATGGTTATTAAAAAGAGTGACTGAAATAAGCTATGTTGGCGGTCCTCTAGAACCTCAAGGTAGGCTGCCATTTCTCACCTCTACCCCATATAGTGCGCACCACAGTTTTCTACAGTGAGAAACTGAAAAGTGTCTCATGTGTTTATAACTCCATTCAAACACTACTTAATATATATGTTGGAATTATTTACTTTGTGAATTCTTCCACTCCAAATTGGCCTTAGAGGTCTTCATCTTGCAGGCAAAAGGCAGCTAAATAACTTGGTAAATGTGTATTCAAGTATTTCAGAAATTAAGCCTGGACCCAGGAGTGGTTCTCTCATCAAATGGAATCAGTGTCACCTAAGTTATAAAACGGCAAGAGTGAAAGTGTTTTCATTACATACAGACTTTTCATTATGTCATGAAGAGATGTAAAGAAGATATGGCAGTTTTCCCAAAAGCTGACACAGACGCTTGTCCTGTTAGAGCCCAAGACTCCCTATTGAAAGCCATACAGAAGGGAGAAGTCCGTAACTCGGCTGTTATCTGCGAAACAGAGATGTGTGGAGTTTTACTTACCTGGCTTTCAAAAATTAAAAACAGACCACCAGAAATATTTACAATGCACACCTCAGCACTTTGGTTTCACATTGTGGCTTATTAAGAGGGTGGAAGGTGCAAGACAGATACAGAATGGTGGAAAGAACCAACAGCAGGGAGGTGGAGAGGGAGAAGCTAGCGAGGGAGTGGAGGGATCCCCATTGGATGTGAAGGAAGCAGGAACTGCGGAGCACGCCTGGGGGTTAGACTTTTAGCGTGCTGCCTCCTCTTGCAGAGCGTTCAGCCAACTCGCTGCTGCTGAGCCCCTTTGCTTGTCTTTGAATCTGCATATCCCGCTCCCTGCAGCACAATGGTGGCGGTGAGTTCTGGGCAGGCAGTGGGCCAGTTGAGCCTACAGCATCCTACCCATGCTGGATGTGGCGAAAGGGTCACCTCCTCTGGGCAGACCTTGCTCATTTAACATGCAGCTAATGTTATTGGAGACCTGGAAAACTCGAGGGTTTGTTGTGACTTTTGAACTCGCTTTCCTGTGAGGTTAGAAGGATGTTACACTACCTCATTTTTAAATACCTATCAGCACTAGAGTTTACTTCCAGAGGCCCCTCGTTTCCACCTGAATATGGAAAAAGATCTTTTCACAAAACTCCTTCTCCTCTCATTATGAGGATGTCTCTCACACCAGTGTCTGAACTCTTAAGTCCTCTGGTGTGTTCTGCATTCTCACTTGCAGCGCTGCTAAAGCAGCTGAGCAGGAATGGCCAGAGCCCGGTCTGGGGGGCGGGGTGAGCGTCGCATGCAGTGGCTGGGAGTAACCTTGTCCGTGCTGTGCTGCAGGTGGAATAACACCCCCATGGATGAAGCCCTGCACTTTGGACACCACGACGTCTTTAAAATCCTCCAGGAGTACCAAGTCCAGTACACACCTCAAGGGGATTCTGATGATGGAAAGGAAAACCAAACTGTCCACAAGAATCTTGATGGGTTGTTATAATGGTCTGAAACCCCAAGACTTAAGTTACTTACCTATTTAATTGTGGAACATGATTATGAAGAACATGTATATTTCTATCTGGTAGTGATGTGTATTTTACAACATTTGTCATTGCAGTGTTACTGGAGTTTTCTTCATTGTGCGCACAGGACAAATCTGATTTCTTTAGGAAAAACATAGAAATAAAAAAAAACCTCCCTTCATAATGTGAGCAAGAGTTACCTCGTGCGTTGTACAATTTGATGTAAAAGAATAGTTACCAATGCTAGCTGAACCATGGTCTTCATGGCTTGTGTGTTTTGTAAGTTTTCAAGCCCTGGTGATGGTATGCTCAGGCATTGATGAGTTAGTCTTTGTTGTACAGTCTGTCCACAGGGGTTGATGCTGTCATTAAATGAAAACAGTGTGATTTCCAAGACTTTAAATATAGATTTAGTTTGAGTGTTTGAACAACCATATGCACTTATATGGTTGAGTGTTTAAAATGTCGCCTATCACCCTCACTTCACAGTGTGACTTCTTAAATATTGAAGTAGTTATTCACTGTTCATAGACTATGCCAATTCTGATTAGATTTTATCAGGGAATCTGTTAAGATATGTTTGGTGACCAAAACATATGTGTGAATATAGTTCTAGAACTTTTACAACTTTTCCTTTCTATATGATCCTTAGGCCAGCCTCTCCGTGATGTTTAGCTGGCTGTCCCTTCCCCTGAGCTGGGATGTGTGTGCTGGCATACCATGCAGTTTCCATCTGTCCTCAGCAGATTATGCCCCACATTTCTGCATCAGAGGTAGAGCTTGGCCACTTGTCTACAGAAGATGAACCAAAGTTAGGCTGTCTAATTTGTTCATCCGTCTGAAGAGTACAGATGGTGACACTGCAGACTCCTAAGTCCTTTCAGCTTCTACAATAAAGAAATATTCAGAAATGCTTTCAGTTACCAAAGTAATAATGCTACATTAGTAAGCACTACAAGTAGCCTGTGACACGCCCTCCTGCTGTCAGAAGTCTGCAGCAAGGCAGCAGCACTCCTTTGGGAGGGCCCAGGGACTTTCTCTCCCTCTGCTGCCTGTCGCTGGGCTGTATCATTCAACGAGAAAAGACCACTTCATTTTAAATTTAGACCCACCATTTCATTGTTGTGGAAAGGTAATTTATAGTTAACTTAGGAAACAGGTAAAAGCGACCTTACAAAGAACATAATTTTCTAGAAATTGCACATACTATACCCTAATGCACCTCCAAGAGATGCAGGGATGTTAGTGAGGATTTCTGACATTGAGCATGTGCATATACATGTGCAGGCATGTATACACACAAATGGACTTCTTAGAAACTGCTTTATGAAATGAGCAAACTTCTCAACTGCGCAGATCCTAGTGGTTACCACAGTGAAACAGCATCTGCTTTGACCCTCTCTATAGCCACTGATTGCTTCTGAGCTTATGATCCTTGGTGGCCTATCATTCACTCCAGTAACCTCCAGCTTTGGTCCTGTTTTCAAAGTGCTTCCGCCATCCCTTCCGTCCCCTAGCCCCTTTCTTGATGAAACTGGCTATTCCTCCTTCCTGGAGCCAGAGATCGCCACCGTGTTTCTAAGCTCCAGAGTCTGGGAAGGCTGGTGGGTAGGCAGCCAGTGCTGACGCTGTGTTCCTGCTTCCGCATGCCTCTCCAGAAAGGCGGACAGGTGGTACCTGACTGTTCTGCACAGGAATAGCACCATCACCTCCAAAGTGAAGGGGTGAACATGTTTTCATCGAATCAACTGAGTTCATGCTATTCCAGCAGCAGCTGGCTTCGTGTAATTCAATGTGTGACCTAAATATTACTGGTGACTGTGAAGATTCCCTCCAATAATGGTTTTGTATACTATTGGAGAACAAATGTTCTCATCTTTCCTCGGACGAGTGCTGTTCTGTACAGTCTGTGGCTTGGTTAAATGTGCTCGGTTTCCTCATGGTGTTATGACCATGTATGTGCCAGGTCTTGCTCTGGCTGTTTGCTATTGGCTGATAATAATGAGGACACTGTTTAAATGCTTGAATGAGCTGTTAACTGCTGCCATCAGTAAACTCCAAAGATCTTTTTGTTTTGGCTTTATGATCTTATGTAGTTTTTCTGTTTCGTGGAACATAACCACGTTGGTTTGAAGCTGTTCACTGCTGTTTCTGCTGTCTTGGTTCTGACACCCATGTCTGGCGACATGCAAAACCCCACTGCTGCCCACACTGCGCTTAGCTGCACAGCTGGATTCACTGTTGATCTGGCTGGCTGGCAGTGACTTGATAACCTGATGTTGGATTTAGGTCCCTGCTGGCGAGTCCACAGCTATGAATGTATTTACTTCCAACGTTTCCCAAAATGAAACCTTAAAACTATAAATTGTAAGTATTCTGAAATTGGGAAATATTTATTTTAAATGAGATCAGGTAGTGTTGCTTTCTATGGCATAATAAATATGTGTATTGAAAACAAACTGTGAGAAGTGAATTTCTGTAAATAAGTGACTGTGACGACAGGATAGTAAGCAAAGGTGACACCTGAAAAATAGTGTTATTAATCTTACTTTAAAATGAATAAAGTGTAATTAATAATAATAAAAATATTTTAAAAAATAGGACTAATATGGGTCTGGAGTGGTGGCTTAGCAGTTCAGAGTACTGGCTGCTCTTCCAGAGGGCCTGAGCTGAGTTCCCAGCACCCACATGGCAGCTCAGAGTTGTCTCTGACTGTAGTCCCATTGGGGACTATGGGATCCAATGCCCTCTTCTGGTGTGCATACATTCAGACAAATTACCCATATTACATACCTACATGAAACTTAAAAAAAAAAAATTTAAATAGGATTGATACATAAATGAGATGCATATTAAACCAACTCACCATATTAGACATTTTAACTATCTTTATATTAAATAATAATAGGAGCCTGAATTAATTTTACCATTTTCTTAAAGTCTCAGCTCATTCAACAGAATGAACCATAACAAACTGTTCTCAATAGACAACAATGTAAGCAATGGTTAGATCCCAGCATTTAGAAACAATATATTTTTTAAATGTTTTGTTTCTTGATCATTTCAATTTAAGGGTCTGTGAAAGCCCAGCGTGCCCCACTGTGTACATGGAAAGAGAGGAGGCCTCCGCTTCCCTGCAGCCCTAAGAACCGGCCTGTGCATATACTCAGTGTGGTATACACTTGCTCTTGGGTTTTAAAGTGGACTTATCTCCTCCAAAGTAAAGCAAAGGATTATGGGAGAACACAGCTGCAGTGGTGACAACGGGAGCCAGCTACAGCTGTCTGTACAATAGCCTGTGACAGCTGCCCAGAAGAACCCTGCCACCAACCCAAACCCGAACCACTGGGCTGTGCTGCTACCACTGAAGAAAGTAGAACCAGCACACGCCACAAAACATCGTCCCTCAAAAAAGTGCCTGACAAAACACAGGATCCCTGGAACCATTGTGAATAATTATTAAAAAAAAAAAAACCAAAAACCAAAAACACATTCATCAGTGAAAAATAGTTTTCAGTGAATTTACATAGGGTATTTTAAAATTATTTGATACTTGTAAAGTATCAATTTTTCGGTTAATTAAGACAACCAGCTAAAAACAATGAAGATATTTAAGAACATGAATTAAACTGATAGGTTTATCTGTATCTGTAATTTCAACCTAAAAATATATTTGCCTTAAGAAAGCTGGCTTCCTTAATGGATGTGCAAAGATAATTTTATTCAACCAATGACCAAAATGACAGCAGAAAACATTTAGCTTGGTGGAATATAGACCAAACAGAAACTACTTGTGAAATATTTGAAAAATGTTCTTTCTTCTACTGGTGTTTAGTTTCATTTATCCATAACTGACAAGAAAGCTAAGTCCCTGAAGAGAGCAACTGTGCTTTTAGTTTTACATGGCCAATGCAGAAGAGGTAAAAAGGAAAACACAACTGTTTCTTCCCATTCAGATGAAGGATGTCCACTAGAGTCCACTAGATATATAGTCCACTATGCATGTATCTGTGTGTAAAGCTGACTTTAAACTTTGCCGTGGGTAAAACAGTGGAAGACTTCCAGCCATAAAGGAGAGGGGACATGTCAGTATGCCAATATCAGCCCATATCTTCCAGGACAGAAATAGTCCTACATCTAAAAGGTCCCACCATAACTGTGCCTCTTTCCAGTGATGTGTAGCATTCGGCCACTGACTATACAGCATTTACTAGAAGTTACTATACTCCTACCTTTCCCAAAACACTAGAATGACAATTCTAGTTCTCATGCCTTGGGTAGATCTCTGGTTTTTTTGTTTACAAAATTCAGTTTGCATAAGTGACCTTCCGTTTCACCTTCAGTTAGATGCTTGAAGTCCTTCAGAGTAACAGATTTCTATTTAGAGAGCCACTTGCTATCAACGAGTGTGTTGTGCTTTCTTGCATTTCCCTAGAAATACAGCATGAAGGAACAGGAGCAGGAAAGAATCACAGATGGGAAGAAAAATGTCGCCAGAGAAGACAGAAATTCATGTTTATACTGCGCTCATCTGCAAAAAGACAAAATGTAGTTAGGTTCATTGCACGAATATTATGAGATGCGATTCATGTATTCATGAATCTGTTGCCCTTCCCAGAATGAAGAGCAGGAAAACGCTTCTACAGCAAATTACCCCATGGAACCAGAAAGGCTAATGTGCCCTCTCCTCCCTGAGCTAATCAGGACCTTTTACATCACCTGATGGATTATTACTCTCTGGCCTACTGGATTAACTCAGTGACTCATCCCAGACAGACCATATAAAGCTTTCTGCTGTTATGCAAGTCTGGGGAGAGCAGCATGGCAAATCAGCCTATTCAAAACAAATGTGAGGAAATGCTGAGCCACATGCTGGAGGGAGAGGGACAGAGGGGAATGATGACTTTCCCTTAAAGGCCACTGTATAAGCAAAATAAACAAAGCCTGTGTTTCAGATGAGGGCCTGAGAAGTAAAATCTCTACAAAGCACGTCAGCCCCCTCCCTGGCCTGCCTGGCTGCCCTGGGTCATAAGCGCTGGCTGCCTCTGCTGACTCTGGCTTCCACACTGGTGTGGCTGTAGATGTCTCAAGGATAGCTCCGATCCTTGGCTGCTCTGAAGACATTCTGACACTGTCATTGCAGGGTATGGTATGTTCACGCTACTGGTATCATGTACATCCTTCAGTGTACAGGGCAGCCCCACAATGAAGGAGATTCTAGCCCTGAATGCCAGGAGAACCAATACAGACAGTACTAGACCACAAAGCCTCGAGAGTTTTAATAAACAATTTTAGACTGAAAAGCATATTAAAGGGTTTGCCTCTCAGGTTGCAGTCTGGTTGATGGCACAAATCTGTAGTTAAGATGGTGCACCGCAGGAGCCGGGGGCGGGGTTGAGATAAAGAAACCCTGCATGGATACCCGGTCGCATCTGCAAACCTCAAGTTCTTCATGTGCTCATTTGGCTAATAGTGTCCATAACTGAAAAGAAAGCTAAGTCCTCTAGGAAAGTAGGGTAGTTCTACTCCAGTCCAAAGGGACAAGTATAGTGTATGGAAATGTTAGAATAAATAAATACCCAAGTCACATTAGAGAAAACACCAGCATACCGTGCCTCGTGGACAATTTCCTCGGGAGCCTGAGAGCCAAGGCTAGACCAGCCATCAACCCTGACTACCTTTTTAGTCCATGCCTCCACACTTGTTAGAAATAAGCCAGCCTTGAGATTCGCTTCCACCTCAGTGCACACACCTGATTCCATTTGTTTTTGTGACACAGTCTCTGTGTAGCCCAATGTGGCCTGTAAAACCACTGGATCAAAGAGCTACAGGGGCCACCCAAAGACTACAAAACCATTTCCTGGAATTTGCCTGAGGGTGTGAAATGCCCCACAGCGTCACCTTCCAGCATATTAGAGCAGTGCTCTCTGCACAAATGGAGGAACCGGCAGCTTAGTTTTTCTAGGTCACTGAGAACAATGGTGATGACAGCTGGAACTCTGCATGCCAAATTCCAGTCACAGGTTCCTCACCCAACGCTGCCTTCGCCTCAGTAGGTGCCAATAGAGCCTGCCTGGTGCACAGGAAGTGCCCTGTAAGTGACCCCATCAACAGTGCCAGTGGTGATGGCCAGACGATTTTCTGAGCACCAGAGGAAGTATATAAGCTCACCCTGTTTTAGCAGCCGTTGCTCTATTTTACATTTTCTGAGCTTTACCATTACTACATATTCACTGAGACTGAAGACTTTTCAGGGTTCTACTTTACACAGACCAAAGGCTCCTTTCATCAAGAAACCAGCATTGTTCTGTGCTCGCTGAACACTGCTCAATACTCAGGAAGCTCTATGAAAGCTTCTCTAAGATTTTTAGTGTGATTGATGAGGTGAAGAGTGAGGTCAACACCATAAAAAGAAAGCATCGCTGAGGTGCAGATGAGCATTCCCACCCCCCAACACGAGTGTGTGTGCTTTACCCACCCTCTCTCCCGCCCCCTCCTCTAACCTGCCCTCTCATTACTGAACATAGGTTTGCTAGGTACTAAGTACACGGTGATGGAGAAAGGCCTGCGGTGGCTAAGAGATTTATTTTTGAAAGCTTTAAGCGGGCTTTGAAAAATGGTCTGGACCAACTGTAAAACAGCTTAGAGTTAAACAGTATCAGCAAGATTGCAGTCACCCAAATAAAATGCACGGGGTAAAGGACCACGGGCTGAAAGGCAAGCGGTACTATTTAATCTGCTGGAAAACATTCTCCCAACAGAAGATTCTCTTTTGCAAACACCATGTTTCTATTTAGATAGTGAAACCCATTAACTCTCACTCCCTGAGCGGCTCATTCTGCCCAAGTCCTTCCCAGGCCCAGAAGCTGGCAGCACGAGTTAGTTCTGAGATATAAAGCAGGCAGATCTGTCTCACCATGGCTAGCTAGTGAGCAGTCCGTGTAAGCAACAGGCATCCAGCTCTTCCTAAGGACAACCCCTTCACTGAGTTGCAGCTGAGATGCCCCAGCCACTACAAAATGGCTACCTCTGAAAGCACCCTGGTCCCTTGGTGTGGAAACTTCCCACACAGCCAGACCTTTCTATCTTGTAGGGGAATGGAGTGTGAGCACCTGAAATCCTGTTGACGAAGCAGTTAGCTCATCTGAAGAAATGCCCTTCCCTTGGCCCTGCTCAAGGCTGTTCCTCCCAGGCAGACCAGATCCACTGCAGTGCCAGCCTGCCTCAGGCTTCCAGGATGGGAGCACCCCTGCCACAGTACTCACCATACTGTCAAATTCAGAGCCCACTATCCGGGACATCTCATCGAACTCCTCTGGAGACATGGGAAGCAGGTTGTCTGTGGTCTGAAGTCTGGAAGGATGGCTAGAACGAGAGAGGAAAGGCAATGTCAACGCCTAAGCTGTGCAGGCTGCAGCGCAAGCCGAGACACGTTTTCTTCTATTTGCGATGGAGTGGTTACTGCATATTTTTATTTCAGAAAAATGTACAGTTTGTGCAACATATCTTTTGAAGGAGTACAGTCGTGGGAGGGTTCTGTCCCCAGCCCGGCCCCTTGGCATACACTGGACTTTAGACATGTGTGATGATGGCCAGACTGAAGCCTACAGCATTGCTGCCTGGGGGAGCCTCGGTGTGAGCACGTGCAGTGTCATCCTGGGACGCAGACTCTCGAGGCTAACCCTGGACAGAAAAGCACCAAGAAATGTCTGGGGATCCCTCATCCCTACCTTGAGGTCTATGCAGACAGGGCTGCTCCACAGAGTGCGCTACATGAAGGCTACATCCATTCACCCCCAGACAGTGCCGCAAGCCAAATAACTGACAATGCCTTTCCAGCACTTTCTACCTTCTATGAAATGAAACAACAGAATAAAAGCAAGTGGAGAAAATGTATCTCAGTTATGACTCTGGCCTTTTCTTGATTGAAAACAACTCCTATCCCACTCATCAATTTTTGTTTATTTTATTCATACTTTTTTCAAAGTATCAGTTTGGGGAGAGCATATATTCCTTACATACAACTTTGTTTTATTTTTATTTTGTTTATTGTTGTTTTGGGGGGTTTGTTGTTGTTGCTGGCATTTTTTTTATGTTATGGCAGTAAAATGCTGGTAAACAATAACACCAGTACTAGTTAACGATCTTTGCAAAAAGTCCGACTGTGGTGACAACGTCAATCACAATGGAAAAGCAAGCTATGAGCCAGTGCAATCAATGGGCCCCAGCCAGGAACGAGGCTGGCTTGAGGTTCTGAATATGTCAGTCTTCCGTGCTCACTTACACTTCAGACACAGAAATCAGCTCAGTCTTGATGTACCCAGTTCGCTTAGGGTCGTCGAGCTCCATGGGCTCTGGTGCTGGAAGCAAGCACATCATGTACTCCACATTAGCAGAAGTCATACCAACAGTCACACTGAGGGTCAGCTCTGTTTCAGCTGGCAGCCTGTTGTTCTGAAACTTTACGGGGTCATGACCTTCCTGCCCAAGTCCCGAAATCCTAATGGGAACGGAGTAGCAACCAGGAAAAAGCTAGGAGTCTAGCCACTTTCCTCTTCCTAAGGCTTACCATCTGACAAGAAGGTGACTGCGCCCATGCATGCAGAGATCTCTCTGCTCTTGTAATGGAATATGCACAGCTGTGGGGGGAGGCTAAAGCCGCCCTCGCTGCAGGGTTAAACTACTGATAGTAAGACTTTGGATTGCAAAAAGCTATTTGCTTTGTTGGCAAAGCTGGCCTGGTCTAACTTGAACTTTTCCAAATGAATTTTTCTATGACCAGGGAGACAGACTTGAATCCTAAGAGAAGGCTGCCTGTTTTACAGTCACTAACAACAGGTTCCGACAAGTAACTAGGCCCATGTGAGTGGACCACTCACTTACCCTGGGCCTGGGGTTTCTCCAACCTAACCCAAGCAAGCTGGGAGAAATTATTAGCCTTGGATCCTACCTCTTTCATGTGGAAAAAGAAGGAACAAATATATAAGACCAGAAACAGACTTTTCCAATATCCTTCAAACAGAAACACGTATCTGTTTCTTAGTAGACACATTAGGCCAAACAATGCATTCTGTTTCAACTTTACTGAGTTTACTCTGTGTTTTAAAAAGCCTGCTTTGACCTGGAGGGACAGCTCAGTGGTTAAGAGCACTGGTTGTTCTTCCAGAGGACCCAGGTTCATTTCTCAGCACCCACATGGCAGCTCACAACTGACTGTAACTCCAGTTCTAGGGGATCTGACTGCCCCAAATAGATAAATATGCAAGCAAAACACCAATGCATATAAAATAGAAGTAATAAATTTAAAAAGTTTGCTTCCGTAATTCAAGAGAGTGAGAGTTTGGCAACACTACAGTTGGCATTTGTGCCACTGTGTTCCACCTCTAGGACAGTGAAGACCACTGTGAGGTATTTAACTTGTCTGGGAGCAACTGAGCACCAGGAAGGACCTCACCACACTCCCTCTCACAGGCGGCACAGCTTGCTTCACACTCACCTTCCTTTGGCCTGGAGTAATATTTTCCAAAGGCGTGGTCTTTGTCAATATTGGGATACAGATACTTCAGGGGATTCTCTGGTATGTTCTCAGCAGCCATGACTTTGTAATTGCGAATAATATCTGGGAAAGTAACAGCTGAAAGTTCTTTCTTCGTGTAGGGTTCAACGGCGTGGAAGTCAGGTTCTAAAAGGAAGAAGCTGGTGAGGCCCACTGAGTACCAACGCCAGAGAGAACTAAAGCAGGGCAGACAGAGGCCAGCAGGGAGTAGGTGCAGCCCTCCAGGAGCTGAATGCGCAGGAGCCTCTGTGTTTCTAAAGACAGCAATCCTGCCTTAACAGGAGGAAAAGCAAACAGGCAGGCACTGCTTTGGAACAGCGCAATTGTTGATATTCGTCAGGGTCCAATTGTAACCCAAAGCATGTCTAAAAGCTTACATCCTTAACAGAGCAATAAATAACTAATAAATATATAATCACTGAGTGAGTCATTAGGCTCAGGCTGCAGATAATGTTAGAAATTGTCTCTCTGCTTTTCCTTTCAGATTGACAAACCCTGTTGGATTAAACCAAGCAATTCTCGAAACAGAAGCAGGATTCCGTGTGCTACTTCTTCCCTCCAGCCCTCCAGGGGACAAGCTGTACTTCAGCCCTCTCCTGTGACAGCCCTGAACCTCTCCCTCTGCTGTGCACTGCTGTTCCGAGCTCGGGCTCGTGTGCATTTCTGACTATGCCTGTAGCTGGCACTATCCTGCTCACGCTTTCCTGGCTGCTGAGTGTCTTCCTCTTTGGTCTGTTTCTCAGCCCCCACTCTCAGTAGGCTTGGGAAATGAACTGCCAGGGGGAAAAAGAATCCAGGCCAACCTCAGCACCCAGTACCTGCACCAGGCCCTGATTCCAGGCCTCCTGACTTTTTCATCAGAATAAAAATAAGTACAATCAAAAGACTATCCCTTCTTTCTGAATCTGTCTACTGAAAACAAAAAGTGCTTTTGACAATCCCTCCACTTCTCCAAGCAAGCCTTAAGCAATGCTCAGTTTGCTATTACTTCTCCCATCTGTTCTGTTTGGTCACAGGAAACCTGCTATACAATAGCATGATTTTGGACTGTGTTGGCCATTTGGCTAGGCAGAAATCTAATTCGCAGCATTGATGAAGGTACAGCCCCTTTGCTTGAAGGTGCACCCCATCCGAGCAGTTGCTGCTAAGAGAGCATGGAGGCATCTGCAGGAACGCATCTCACAAAGCCTGACCTTAGCCAGGCACGCTCAGAATGAGTTGATTCTGAAATCATACACTGTGGGAAATGTGATCCTTTCCAACAACTGGGTGCAGAGTACTGACTCACAGCCTTGAACTGCAGGCAACAGACCTGAGAGAAAGGAGAAACTTGGCCTTGTGCTTTGAAATGCATCATTTCCATAGTGTGTTCGTAGGCAGCGTATTAGCAGTGTCCACAGTGGTTTAAGTCTCTCCTGGAGAGCTTAGTTGTATGATTATAGGCTGTGGGATTTCCATCCCAAAGCTCCTCTAAGGGACTGATCCTCATGACAGATTTCAGATGTGTGTGGCAGGCCTGCACGTGTGCAGGCTTCACTCACCACCTCCGTTCTGGGAGCGCTCCACCCAGGTGAACGTGATGGCCCCTTCCCGGGAGCTCTCGCTGAAACGAAGCAGGAAGGTCCCTGGCTGCTGGTCCTTGAGCAGAGCGCGTTCCCGCTCCTTGCTGATAAAGCCCATGATGCACCTGGACATTGAAGACAGGGTGTAGACACTTTGCACTTCCTCCGCTGCCTAAGTTTAATTTCCACCCACGACCTAAGAAAAGTGCTGCATAGTATAAAGACATTTACTCTCAGAATGTTTAACCGACACGTACGCATCTCACTTACACGTGGGTGTGCTTAAGGAAGGATCAAGAAGAAGGAAGCATCAGTTTGATTCTTAGTAAATAGGCCATGGACCTTCTAATATTACTTGCTGATTTTAAAGAAGTTTTGTATTTTTTTTTTACAATTTATTTATTTTATGTATATGAATGCTCTGTTTTCATACACACCAGAAGAGCGAATCAGATTCCATTTTAGATGGTTGTGAGCCACCATGTGGTTGCTGGGGATTGAACTCGGGACCTCTGGAAGAGCAACCTGTGCTGCTAACCACTGAGCCATCTCTCCACCTCTACTTGCTGATTTTAAACACCATGAAAATGTCTGCATATGCATCTCATACTGGGGATGCAGCCTTCGAAAACATATTTTCATATACCAGCACTTTTGGTCAACTGAAAGGTATTATTAAGCTATCAGTTAATCCTAGGAATGAATGAGCTAAACTTTAAAAAAAAAAGAAAAGAAAAAACACAAGAGTCTCACTGTGCAGCCTTGGCTAATCAGGAACTTGCTATGATCACAGAGATCAGCGCGCCTCTGTCTTCAGAGTACTGAAGTTAAAGGCATGCACCAGCCCACCTGTGGTTTTGCTTCTTCACTAGGGCAGTACAGTAAATACTGACAATGTTTGTGGGAATGAATGACTACACTAATGACACTTGGAGGCTTTTGCTTTTAATTTATTTTAAATATATATACATCTATCTTAAGGTATTATGCTTAATCTTATGAGGGTATATGTGTTATCTCTGTGAAAAAACAAAAATCCTATCAAATAATAAAGCCCAGATCAGACTTTGTCTCAGCCTTAAATGTACATGTAAAAATGTTTCCAAAGGCAGCACTCAGGGACCCTTACCCATCATTCCAGAGGCAGAGCAGGTGCTTCTTAATCAGTTCTAGGATGGTGTCAATCCAAGGCCAGAAGGAAAAGTTTTTATCATTAATATTTTCCTGAAAGTATACAAACGCACAACTGGTTAACCAAAGCTATGTCTTGCCCTGCCTCTTCCACAGAGGCCCCAGCTCAGCAAGAGCTGCAGGAGGCCTGGGTTCCCTGCCTCTGACTTTCCCAAGCTCTCCCTTTCCCTGCTCCGAGCTTCCAACAGCAGCAACCAGCAGGGATGGCCTCACACGGCAGGAGGTGCCCTCACAGCACAGAGCCCCCGAGTGGGAGGCTCACTCCAGATGGTGACTCCAGCAGGGCGTCAACATCCTGGGCAGGCGCCCGCAGCCCCAGCACTGCTGCACAGTGGTGCACATTTCACACGGCCTCAGCCAAAGCCTGCTCATTAAGAGGCCTGTGTGAAGGGGCTGAGGACTCTTTCCGATGTGGAAGAATGTTATCACTCAGGCCGGTGCTTCCTGTGGGCCTATGCTTGGAGACCAACCTCCTGTACTGAAGGAAAGTAAACAACTTGCCCTAGGGGCTGTGAGGGGGCCAGATAAACAGCCAGAATAAGCAAACAGTGAACTACCACAGGAGAAACAGGAGAGCTCCCAGAGTGGAAAGAACTCAAGAGTCACCGATAGGAAACCCAGCCAGTACCCACCTTACAAAACCTCGTCCATGGAATAAGACCGTCAGGGCTAGCACTAGGACCTAAGAGGCAAAGAAAGAAAGAAAAGTTAGCCTTTTTACTGAACAGAAACTGGTCTTCTGCCAGCTGCACCGGCAGGTCTTACATCTATGGTCGGTATTCCCTGCACATTAACACGAGATGAGTCACGACTATGCAGGCTGACGGGATATAATACAGCAGGCTAACACCTGTGGCTGGTGCTTTTGCTTGACCCACTCCTTCATCCTCTAAGACAGGGTCTCCCTGGGTGGCTCAGCCTGAGCTCAACCTCACCATCCCCTCCCCTGCCTCTGCCCAGCAGCCTGAGATTACAGATGGCCTGGCACACTTTTCTGCTGGCTTGATTCTGAATGCATGGCGGATTATTGGGTCTCCCATTAAGAAAGTATGCAGAGGACACTCAAGTATTAGGAAGCCTTGCCATGTGCTGCCTCAGCTCCTGGATCTCTAAGTCCTGCTCCGTGACATTCCCTTCCGAGCAGATCTGACATCGGTGCGCTCTTTCTCCCTGCAAGGCTCTCTGGTGTCACCCTCTTCGTCCCACCCCCAGCCAGCATTGTTTTCACTGCTCCTCCTAACTGCCTACATGAAGTCTCCCTACCAAAAAGCACCCAGATTAAACGGACAATTCAAAGCAAGACCAAGATGATCAGCTGAACTGACACATGATTTTATAAGCTTGCTGTAGTCATTAGTTAGATATTTCCCTCAGCATTCTCACAAATTGGACAGTGGCTCAGACTGATGCAAACCATAAATGTGATTAGCCATACAAATTAAAACAGCACACGGATAAGCTACACGCAGGAAAATGTCCTTGCATCTCATGAAATGGGGTTATAGAACAAGATCTTACACCTGTGTTAACACACACATTTGATGGAAGACACTATGAGGGCCACCCAGTTACAAAGGGCCCTTCTGCTGCAGCGTCTATGTCAGCCTGCACACAGACAATAAACATGGACAACACTGATGGGATTTTAAAGGCATGGTTCAGGTGCTCCTGTTCACTGGGATGTCTGTCAGTGTTGACCGGCTTTGCTCTTTCACTGTAGAAGACTTCTGTAATAAGTCTCCTGGCATTAGCCACTAAGAGAGAACTACCTACCATGGTCCAGACTGCCTGATCCGAAAAAACTGTGGCCCTGTCTCCTAACCCTAGAACTTGATTTTGTCAGGGACTTTCGTCTTTCACTCTGTAAGGACAGTTAACAGCTCATCTTGCTCATCAGTCACTTATTTCAGGCTCATGTAATATATTTTCATAATCTAAAGAATCCCCTTAAGATCCTGTCTCAGAAACGTTAGTGAGTGAGGGAAGGATTCACTTGCTATTGTTGGCTGCAGTTAGAAAGCCAACTGATTTCTAACACTCCTCTAGCTTTAAGAAACAGAGAACACTGAAAGACTGAAAGAGAAAGCTGACTCAGTGCGCATGTCCATCGTACCCAGAAGCTTCTCTCCCAGCATGCTCAGCTGGTCTGCGTTGAGACCTCTCTTGGTGACTGATGAAAACTGCCAGCTCAGCACCTCTGAGAGCTGGGACCACCGCGCACATGGTGGGTTCAGGAAGAAGGAGAGATTCTGGAGAGAAAACACCCAGGAGCTGGGTTACACAGGAGCCACCGGCTGTTACCGAAGCCCAGACGCAGCCCGCCCCGGTGCTCAGTGCTGGCTTATGTACACACAGGCTGTCACAGCTGGCGATTAGCAGGTTCATGCCTGTGCATCTATTTACTCACGGAAATTTACTTATAACCCAAAATCAGCTTCTGAGGCAATTTTGTGGTCACAGATTGATGTCCTCAAGTGAGATAGAACAAATAACACCCTGGCCTTTCAGTGCAGCCCACTTGGCCACCGTTCTTCAAATTTTTGTGATTTCTGTTGGTGACTTCATTATTTAAAATTGAGCCAAGTGCTGGGCGGATATAGCATGACGTGCCTAGCACAGGAAGGTGGGGGAGAGATGGGGAGTGGCGACCTAGTGTGTTAGATAAGCTTCATTTGCTCATGAGTTACAGCGCTCCTTGGCTGCAGAGTCAGTGGTAACAGGTGGTCAGATATACCAGATATGGTGCTTTAAGAAGCAGCACACAAGTTTTATGTATCATGGGCTGAAAAACATGCTGCAACTAAAGGCTTACAGAAGCTGAGCTCTGAATTTCCCCCTGGAAGCAATGTTTCTGTACTTGATTAACCAGAGTTCTACTAAAGAACACCAGTATTTCACTTAGAATCAACTGACCAGCGCAGGGCATTCCTGCTCTAGGAAAATGCATGCTCATTTAACAAATGCATACACTTTAAAACAAGAAACACTTAGGGCCTCCCTCTACAACCGGGAAAATAAAACCTTCAGCGGCCCAAGTTCGTCCACACAGAAAGAAAAGCCTGTTTCCACACGCAGCCGCTATGGCTGACTACTTTGCTAGTCACTCAAGATCCTCAGTGCTGCCACAGGGTTTGCACTTCTTCCCTCGACACCTGCTCATGGGGAGCAGCCAGCAGCTTGTCTGGTTAATTGCACTCAAGCAAGTGTATCCATACCCTGGGCTCTGTCACCAGCATGTTGTACCACAGGATAGAAGCCCAGCCACTGGGGAGCTGGCTGACGTTGGAGATCACCACGACAGGCAGAGAGGTTGTCTGAAAGTGAAGAAAGACCTCGAAATCATTTCAGTCACCACTGTAACAGTTAAACATTCAACAGTGGCTATTACAATCAGAACAAGTCTTTTGCAAAATTTTAAGGTTAATTCAAGTCTGTAGCTTCCTAGATCATTAATGTCACCATGTATTAGCTGGAGATCACCTTGGGAACATGAGAGGTGGCTGCTCTTTCAGAGGGCCCAGGCTTGATGTCTAACAACCACATGGTGGCTTACAGCTGTCTGGAACTTGGGTCCCAGGGAATCTGACTCCCTCCTCTGGCCTCTGTAGGCACCCAGACATATATGTGGTATATACACATACATGCAGATAAAACACCCCCACACACAGTACTTTAAAAATAATAATTTTAAAGGGATCATCCTTTTTTAACAATTAGGTAAATAATTCTGAAATGAAAACTGAAAAACAAAGCTTTGTGGAAGTAAAGATAAAGTGCATTCTCCCTTGAGAAGCTCTAAGTCTTACCTCAAGGTCAATTACCAGGCCTGGCTGGCACAACTGGGTTTCAAAGCTAAGAGAGTGAAGTTCCTCAGTGACAATGAGAGGCCCCTTGGAAAAGGAAAAGAGAACAACTCATTCATGATCCTGCAACTCCCAAAACCCCAACAGGCTGTAGAGAGCCTAAAATCAAATATGATCCAGAAGACTTCATAACTCAGTAATTGACCTCAGGTTTTATTATCCTAAGCTTCTTGGTGTTCTCTCAAAGGTGCTTTAATTATGGCAAAGACTATCCATTCAGAGAAAGAAACATCGTTGGGAAAATGGCAACAAATGAGTTTATCCACAATCTATGACCTCTTGACTTCCAGCCATCTGCCTGCTCCCAAGGACTGCACACCTCACCCGGTGGCAGAGGTTGAAGGCAGAGAGGGCATGTCTTCCAAGTGAGAGCCTCCACTGAAAGGACTAAGTAGCCCACATAAGCTTGGGAGTCCTGAGTGCTTTGGCTTTGTAGAAAGGGATAGGTTTCCAGGTGCCTTCACACACATCTCTCAGTAACTATCACGCCATCTTGGAACTACAGAGACAGCTGCTACAAAGACAGCTACAGAGCGCAACCTACTGGAAGATGTCCCTGCTGCGCAGACATCATTTTCTGTACTGTTGCTGCAGTGACCTCCACTGGTCACGACATAGAATGACAGCCAAAGGTATATGCACTAAGAACAATTTCAAACCAAACCAGACCCAGGCTACCCTGCTACCCATCTCTCATTTTCCATTCTTCTTTCTTTTCTTTGTTTTTTGTTTTATTTTTATTCTTTGAGACATGGTTTCTCTGTGTAGCCTTGGCTGTCCTGGAACTAACTGTGTAGACCAGGCTGGCCTCAAACTCACAGAGATTCACCTGCCTCTGCCTCCTGACTGCTGGGATTAAAGGCGTGCACCACCACACTCAATTACCTCTCATTTTTCAATCACCACAAACATAAATTCTAAGGCTCAAGGCTGTAAAATGGATCTGTGACAAGGCAATGCTACTGGATAGGAAATGCAATGGCAAGGAACCCTCTGCAACACCAGGTCTTTGGCATCAGCTACTGGGCTAATTTTGTGTCAAGCTGATACAAGCAAGAGTTATCGCAGAGGAGGGAGCCTCAAGTGAGAAAGCGCCTCCACAAGATCCAGCTGTAGGGCATTTCCTAGCTAGTGATAGGAGTGGGCCTGGCCCATCGTGGGAGTACCCTCCCTGAACTGGTGGTCCTGGCTTCTATAAGAAAGTAGGACAAGCAAGACATGGGGAGCAACTAGTTAGCAATACCCCTCCACAGCAGCATCAGCTCATGTGCAGCGAAAATTCTGGAATTTTGGCTTCTTTAAAAAACACAAAAATATAAGAATATGTTTTTGTTTTAATCCCAGAATATGGTGCTGCTTCAAACTGTCCACAGCAGCTATGATTTGCCTCATGCTCTAGCAAGGCATGGTTTTGCCAGCTGCAGACAGTTTCTGAGACTGTGTGAAACTCTGAGGACTTTTCAGAGGATATATAAATGCTAGAGTCAGGGTGGGTTGTTGGTTGTTACTGGGTTGTTGGTCACTGTTGATCATGGTTTGTTAAGCAGTCATGCACAAACAGCAGCAAGAAATTAGATATCCTGATGTTGAAGATCAAACTTGCATCAAGGAACATGCCTAATCAGCAAGAAGTAGTCTAATGATATCCTTGCCCCCCCCTTTGAAACCCTTGACTTTATTCAGGGATCTTTCCTTTCCTCTATATCCTTTTTTTCTCTCTTATCTAGTGTTAGGGGGTTGAAAGAGTTAAAGGGGGGAGCTGGAAAAGGGTGGAAGAAAGAAGAACCCAAAAAGTAGCAAGAGCCAGCTATACCCCTGACTCCAGTTTCCAGCCCTGCTTGAGTTCCTCTCCTGACTTCTTTCAGTGATGGACTACAGTGTGGAAGTATTCACCAAATAAACTCTTTTCTCCCCAATTTCTTTTTGTTCATAATGGTGTTTCACTGCAGCAGGAGTAACCCTAGCTCAGACTGTCACATTCAGTCTCTCCACCTTTCCTGTGCATTCCTAGCTAAACCATGCTAACTTCTTCACCCAAATGTGAACAGCACAGAAGGGCACCAGCTGGCTGTCTTTGTGGGCCCAGTGAGATATGGGTTAAACTACTTTTCAAGCAAACATTAGAGAGGCAGAGTGATTTTTACCATCCGGTCAGGTTGGAGGACCTCTGTGATGTGTCCTGGAAAGTATCTGGTAAGGGTCCACTCACAACCCACACATGCTCACCTCATTAGTTCTGTTGCCAGCGTTCTTCTGTTCCTTCAGTTGCTGTAAAAGGAGGACCAAATGGCAAGTTAATCATCAAAGTTGAGGTATTTATTCACAGGTCAGTCCTGGGTCAGGACTAGAACAAAACACAAGACAGTCTCCTCAGAGCAAGAGAATAAGTGCTTCTTCCAACAGCCTGGTGGGGGGTGGGCACTCTGAGGGAGACGATCCCCAGAACCTAAGCCTGTTCCTCCTGTGCACCATGGTATGCCAAGCACCTCAGCAGTCCTTCCAGGCTCATGACGCAGCTTATCTGTCTTTGTAGAATCTTCCGGGCTGGCTCAGCACTCCAGTTCAAGCCCTGAAGTTTAAAGGGCCATTCTGAACACTCTCAGATTCCCAAGCTGGACGGAGCCTCTTGCCTCACATGCAGTTCCATGACTATGAGTCCTGTGGCTGGTTACCAGTGAAAACAGTGCCACTAACCTCCCTTCAGGCTCAGACCCACAATGGGTTCATGGAGATGGAAGGAAGTACTGCCCTTACACTCACCAGTGGAGTGGGGGCTCCTTCTCTTGCACCACACTTGGAAGGTGGGAGAGGTGAAGAATGTGGGAATGGTTTTCTTGAGCACATTGCCGAAACCATGGCAACTGGTCACAGCGGAGGGGAGGGGCTTATATCATTTATGTGTATGCAAGTTCATAAAACACTTTATTGAGATCAGGACAGCCCCTGTCAAAAAACACAGCAAAGAGACAAGGGATACAAAGAAGGGACCAGGATCCCACAGTAGGAAAAATCTAGGGGCCACTATATGTTAAGACTTATAAAGGACCAAGGTGGTGTCAAGACAGCAAACTGCTCTGCCTACCAGGTGTCGGAACTCAGCTGCCAAACTTCCGTTGGTAGATTCTTCCATGTTCATCACTTTTGTGTGCGTACCCAAAATGTTGAACTTCCGAAATCTATACCATGCAAGACACAAGTCCTTAATATGCTTCAAACGACTAGACAAACAAGATAACGAAGTACAATGCAGATGCTACACCTACCCTTTCACTGTGTTTTTCTCGTTTACATCTCTGTAAAAAATAAAAACATACATAAATTTGAACTAGGTTTTAATAGGTACAACATAGATGCATACGATTACATAGATGTAGAAATAAAAGACAGTAAATGTATGGGCTGCAGGCGGTACTGTAGCTACTTCCCAGCACACTGCCCCCTTGCAGTTTACTCAGTAAACACATTTTCTCCTTTTAAAACAGGAAACGAGAGAAAAGGAAGTGAGGAATAAAGACACATATCTATGAGCAGGGGTGGTGGCACATCCTGAATCTCAGCACACAGAAGACAGAGGCAGGAAGCAGGAGTCCCAGGCCAGCCTGTGCTGCAGGGTAAGTCTGGTCTCAGAAAAGGACATAAAATACTTACAAAATAACAAAATAATAGATAATCTACACCTATAGTCCTCCTGTCCTTTTGTTCACTCATTCCCTTCCCACTCACATTAGTGAGACCAAGTAACACTGAATGTCAGAGGCAATTAAACCGCCTGTCTGGCATTTCTCTCATACAGCCTGCTACCAGTTGTAAATACCAGGGCACTGGGAGGAGTAAACAGTTAACACAGGAAGAGCTCAGGACACCTCTGTGAACTCTGTGCTGCCACCAGCTCAACACTAGTGATCCACAGCCACCAATGCTCTGTTGCCCTAGAAACCGACATTCCAAGGTGAGTGAGTAATCTTATCTTACTCCCTGTTGTTTGGAATGATCTTGAGAAAATGACGAGATAGTCAAACATCTGGGGAAACAGGACAGTTTAAGGTTTAAGCCTGAGGTTATTTTCTTTTTTTCTTTCAGTGCTGGCAACTAAGTGCTGGTACCTCCTTCGAGGCAGTCCCGTAAAACCTGAAGTCAAAACCGGGAAAGATTTTCATACAAATATAAATTCAGTGGTTCCTCTTACCATGCCGTGATTTGCTGCAAAGATCAAATCCTAAAGGCTTGGTCTCTAGCAGTGATACTGAGTGCTAGGACCTGAAGAGAGGCACTTAGGTCACCTAGCCCTAGCAGACTAAAGTTTGCACTGTAGGAGAGGGCTGGCCTTTGTAAGAACAAGCAAGTGGCTTTCTCAGCTTGCTCTTGCTTCTGTGTGATTGTCACAGGTGACTCTGCCATGTAATGCCACCCACAAAGTCCTTGCCATTTCCCTGCCACCAGATCTTGAATCTCCCAGCTTCCAGAACTATGAGATAAATAAACTTCTTTTCTTTATAAAATACCCAGGTTCAAGTAATTTGTTATAGCAACACAAAAATGAACTAAGATAGTTATAGTCTCACCAAATAGTATATATCAGTAATTCATACATACACAGTGTGTGTATGTATACTCTCACTCACAAAAGTTAGTTTTCTTCCTAACTCAACTAGAAGGTCAGTGCTTTCAGTAATAAAAAATTCTATAAAAGGTACCAATTTCCTATTTGTAGAAAACACTGATACAAAGCTGCCATGTGAGGTCTAAGAAGAAAAAGCAGAAGTGGAATAGATGAAAAGACAAAGGACACACAAGGAGAGAGATCTAGAGCAGAGTGTGTGAATGGCCTTCAGGAAGGACCTCAGCATCTTAGGGAGCCTGGACTAGCTTCTAAGACGACAAGGGATGGCCATGGTATTATGTACATTCCAAGCAAACCTCCACAGAGCTTACATGCTTGCCATTGGGTAGAAAGGTCAGTCAGGCCCATGAAGATGAGCTCAGGAATTCCAGCTGAGACCCAGACAGGCGAGTAGGCCATGCCAGAACAGCCCCAGCCTACTTGAGCTGCACCAAAGAACTCCCTACAGCTCACAGAATGTGAGCAATAACAAGCTCTGAGGATTCAAAACCCTGAATTTTGGGGCTGATTTGCTATGCAGTAAAGTGAAAACACAGAAAACCTAGGATAACAACGGGGAAGGCAAAGACATAGACTACAATGAAGAGCACTCTTAAAGGGTAGGAAGAAACGGAAAGCCAGACGAAGCTATTCTGAATCATCACAAACCATTTTGAAATGAGCAAAGTCAGCACAGAACTCAAACTAAAAGCAGCAGGTGTCTAGGGCTGGGAGACTGTTTCTTATTTTAAGTGGTATGGCCAGATCAGAGCTAAGTGAGATGTAGGGTCTGAGGGAAAACAGGACAGGGCCCCTCCATTTGTACTGCCATAAAAGATCCTGTTCAATGCTGGGATCTCATTGTCCAGGGAAGACATAAGGGCATGCGGCAGACTCCACTGCGCCCCTCACGCCCACTCCGATGTCCCAGTTGGCTACAGATGCACAGCTTGGATCCTGGGTGCATGTTGGACTAAGGACCTCCTCTCTGGGGCTGGCCGAAGAGATGTGATGTGTGAAGCCCAGCTGCTTTAAGACCTGAAGGCAATCTCCTTTCCTCTGATGTCTTGTTTATGCTAGTCCAGAAAGCACCTGCTCTAGGTAGAGCCCCCAATCCTCAGAAAGGAGCCAGTAATGGAGGTCAGCTAGGATGGCTCGCACTGACCCTGGGGTAGCTCACTAGATGCCTGTCTTCACAGGCTGTGGTGTCAGGATCTACAGTGCAGCCCTGGGTCCTGGGAAGAACTTCCAATCTGCTAATGTGGCGGAGAGGTTAACAAACCAGCATTTAAAAGCATGTTAAATAAGATTTAAAAAAAAACTTACTTATCAAATGAAACTTTCACTTTCAAATTATAATTCAGCTCTTGCAATTTCACCAACAGTCTACAAAGAAAAGTAATAGTCATTACCTTAAGAAACTATTGACTAAAATTTATTTATTATGCAACATTTAGATACACCACTCTCCCTACTCTTAGATTACAGTTATTACAATAAAACTGACAAGTTTATATAGCCATTTGGCTTTTCTTCTTATGTATATCTGTAGAATCAATTCCTAGCTGACAATACTGAGACAAAATTCTAACATTAAACTCTAACAGAATGCAGCCCTGACTTTACATTCTAACCGAAGTTAGTAAAAGCAGCTGTGTGTTTATATAACCTGACAATACAGTTTTAATAAAAATTTCCACTTGTGATCAATACTATATGGGCAAAAAAAAAAAAAATGAGTATCGCTCTTTACAAAACATGTATTTAATTTCTTGTTTTATTGGGAGAAATATAAAGCACCACCAAAAAATTAAATCACAATCAGAAAAAAGCAGGAAGGCTGCAGGCTCCAGAACACTGAAGGGGCTGTAAAGGAGAGAGAGGCCAGAGCCTCTACATGCTCTGATGCTAGAGTTACTTAGATCACAGAGCACTGGTACAGCCCGGTGAAAGATACAAGTTCACTCACCAGAAAAATGCATACACCATAATCTACACTCACACACACTCCTGCAGTGTCTGTCTGGGCTTCCTAGCTCCATTATGAGCCTATTTAGGCTCATCAGGGGACGGCTGCTGGGAACTTTAAGTGAAGAGATCTAGCCAGCCCAATCAGAGTAAAAATGGCTCCGGCAGGCCTTGCCCTTCTCCCTGTCATTCTGCCTTGCTAAAAACCGTTAGGTTACATTACTGAAGCTAGCCATAAAGGTCTATTCCCTTCAGCCACTTCTTCCTCCAGAGGCTGACTACCAACTTCCAGAGTTCAAAGGACTGAAGTCTAACAATCAAAAGCTGCCTTTGGCTCACCTAATTAACGTGTCCAATTAAAATTAAACACCTCATCCTAACACAGAGTTTCTCCTTTTACCTTTATAAATCGCCATTTGCCTATGGGCCATGTCTGTCTTCTCTCTATCCAGAGGCAGTCCTTTGTCCTACTCCAGGACAAATACCCTTCCTCTCTCCTTTGTCCCCTTTCTCCCCCACCCACCCCCTTCTCCCTCTTCCTCTATCTCCTGTCTTTGTCACTTATCCCTGCCTTCTGTCCCTCTGAGGCAAATTGATCTCCTTTCTTTTGAGGCCTTGCTCTTGCGGTACCTTGAACCTGATTTGAGGTTCCCTACACCAAGTTACTTTTACTGTATTTACAATTGGAAGAAACAGGCAAATGTGTAGATATGTAACTATATTAGTTATGCTTCTATTTTGAGAACACAGCTTGGCTATTCCAAGTAAGAATTCATATTAAAATGACTACTGGAAAATTGCTTTCTCTAGAGCACTCTATACAGCTAGTTTCTAAGAGGAAATTAAAGAGTCAGTTGTGGTGATACACAACTGTTATCCCAGCATCTGGAAAGCTGACACATGAGCATTATAATTTTGAAGCAAGTTGGGGTGAAAAAAAGGATGGTGTATTAAAGGTGGTATATTAAAAACCTATTGACTAAAATTTATTTATTGTGCAACATTTATAGACACCACTTTCCCCACTCTTAGATTACAGTTATTACAATAAAACTGACAAGTTTATATAGCCATTTGGCTTTTCTTCTTATGTATATCTGTAGAATCAATTCCTAGCTGACAATACTGGGACAAAATTCTAACATTAAACTCTAACAGAGTTGTGGGGCAGGCAGCACATGGAACTGTATATTCATTACCTCAACTTCACAGTGAACTGTACCCCAGTCTTCAAGACCAGTGGTCTCTGAGGATGAGTTGGCATGCATGGCTGTCGTTCTACCACGAAGGAGCTATCAAAGTCCAGGAAAGCACAGATAAATCAGCATTCCCATCAGTTAAAGCAGCAGAAAAACAAATTAATAACTTTTCCCTAAGGAGGCAATAGATGGAAAAATTGAAGGACTGAAAATAGGGGAGCATTAAAAAATATTCTTTTGTTTCCAATTTTTAAGAAGTTTAATCTACATCCCAAATTAGTATATCTTTAATTATAATTGCATATCATCAGTTTTTCCCAGAATCTAAAGGGACAAATCAAAAACTAATTTCTTCAGTTTATCTGGCTCATATTTCTTAGCTGAAATTAAGGGGACACATTAGAAAAATGACTTTCCCCAGACTCCTATGTTTCACATCATTAGTACTAAATAGTCTCCCTAAGAAGGCAAAAAGAGACAATCCTTTGTCAACTTCCCGTGTGAAGATGGGTTTCAGAATACTCATGATAAATTTGGTAAAATTTAACAATTTGTAATGTTCATTCTAATGCATATCTACTGGAAAATATCTGAATTCTCATTTTACTCTATAACCATTGAAAAATATTTTGAGAGGCTGTCAAACTGCGTAAGAAAAGTAATGTTGGCTGCAAGTGTGGCCTGACCGATGGGTCACGGCGGAAAAGAGGCCATGATGGTACAGCCGAGGGGTCCAAGGGGCTAGCTGGCAAGGAAGGACCAGACCAAATGCCCGGTGTGGGTGTTACAGCCGAGGCAGAAAGACTGCTGGGAAGCTGCTGCCGGAGCTCAAAAGACAGGATCTGAGAGATGGCATATGTGGAGGCCACAGTACAGGGAGAGAGGGACAGGCACCTGAGGCTGGACTGGCTGGGCACAGACTGGCTGGGGGGGGGAAAGAGTGAAAACTACCATACTTTCCTTAGGAAGCCAAAAGAAGGAAGAGACATTCAAGAATCAAGTGCCATTAAAAATTGATACAGGCTATCAAAACCTCCCAAACTACCCGAACGGCCACAGATGGTCTTCTGGATGAGGCCACTCCGCCTGGCCTCACCTCTGAATGAGCTGCTGGAAGAGGACAAAGCAGCGATCCCATAACACCTGCTTGTTTTTTGTGACAGGATCCTGTTCATAGGTGAATTTCTGCTCCAACTCCTCCAGCTTTTTAAGCTGCTGACGAACCTGCTGCAGACTCTCTGCAACAATGGTGAACCTGGAAAGGTACAAGACATGGGTTCTCAATGAGCAATAGTTCCAAAGCAGCCTGGATTAAAGAGAATCACAGAACCATCACATGGTATGGGTAACATGGAATTATACTTCACATGTGGGGAGAAGTGGGGAGATGGAGGCCTGTGGTAGCATTAAGCTTAGTTACTTGCAGAAAAAAATAAAAAACAGCAAGCACTGAAGAATTACAACATGGTCAAAGGCCTCTCTCTGTATAGTTCTCAGAGCTATTGTCCTGGATGATTTGGTCAACTTGACACAAGGTAGTTTTCTGGGAAAAGGAACCTCAATTGAAAAATTACCTCCATCACACAAAGCCTGTGGGCATTTTCTTAATTAGTGACTGATGTAAGAGGGCCCAGCCCATTGTGGGTGGTGCCAACCCATAGCAAGTTATTCTAGGGTGTATAAGAAAGCAAGCTGAAAGGTATGGGGAGCAATCCAGTAAGGCCTCCTTGGTCTCTGCCTCAGTTCCTCCTTTCAGATTCCTGCTTTGAGTTCCTGCCCTGACTTCCCTCAGAAATGGAGTATGACTTGAGAGTTGTAAGCTGAAATAAACCATTTTCTCCCCAAGTTGCTTTTACCACAGCAATAGAAACCCTAAGACAGGCACACAAGGCAAGACACTCAGGGCAGGGCTCCAGATGATCTGTGACTTTAAAGAATCTAGAATTTCAAAAGGGCAGAAGACAGAGGCAGGGGACCAGCAAAGCAGGTATCTTCAGGCAGCATAAGAGGACTAAAAGAGCCCCAGAAGGTTTTTATGTGGAGACAGTGCTGGCACTGCAGGACCTCTTAGAGACACTTGGAGCGACCAAGAAGTTGGGAGAGGAAAAGAATGAAAGAGGAGCCCAGGTCACACTCCATAAAGCTGAGACTACTGAGGAAGCTGGTGATGGCTCTGAGGTTTTCCCTTCCTGAGAGTCAGTTGCTAAGTACATCACAGCTTCTGAACCAGGCACATAGGGCTGTCACATTATTCAGAGAACCACAGTAGATCTCCCACTGAAAACACCCACTTCCCTGGTAGCTTTATAGGCTCCAACCCTCAGCACCAGGAGGGGCACCTCACCATGATGTGAGAAAGTAAGATGGTGGCTGCATGCTTTGTTGAGGAGAATCTGCCTAGTGTGTCCCAGCTCCCAAATGACTCAGAGAAAATGGCAACCTACATACTGGAACTTAGAGCCACTGAAAGAGGCTTGGTGGTCTATGGCAAACACCATGTTCTCCAGCTAGGCCAGGGCTGATGAGCTGAGGGCCTAAGGAGTAAGTATCCCTCATGAGACAAATAGGGTTGGGGAACTCTTCTCTCCCCATAACAAATATGGGATATATACAGATGATTCACAGATAGAGATAAATGGCTATATGTTAATTTTAACTAAAAAAAAAAAAAGACTTCAATCTCAAGAAAATAATCCCACTAGACCTTTGTCCCATGGGCTCCTGCTGACTATCTCAGCCCATAGTGCCCTCATTTTCATTCCAGGATCCCTCTGCTCCTAAAGCACCCCTTTACTCTCAGCTAGTGCAAGGCTCTTAAGGGGGAAGTCCCCCAAATCAATCTTCTATTCCCAGAATAGTATTTGCCATCCAGCCAACATATTTAGTGGGTGGATGACTGAGTGGATGGCCCAAAAGAAACTGTTAATTAATCTAAGCCCTTAAGATATTTTGTTTTTAATAAGTATCAGGTCTCAAGTTCCTAAATGGGCTAGGTAACAACTATGGGTTTTTGTATAGTCAAATGATACATGTCCAAACCAAGCAGATGTGGCTGAACACGGCAACAGCCATATGTATCACTCACTGTACTTGCCAAATGTTCTAGGGCAAGAAGCTGAACTGTGTCAAAGGACATAGTGCAGTGCTGACTGGCCGTGAGACTACCAGCCTAACGGTGTTCTGGATCAGTGTCTGTGGCCCGCACATGAGCTGCCAACATCCACTCCAGGAAATTCTCACCAGCTTTGCAGCTGATCGAGGCAGGCGTTGGGTGGTCCCCCGATACAGGCACTCTGCTGTCGTCGCTTCCACTCCACTAACTCATCATTGATCAGGGTGTTCTGCGTGAGCTCGATGGCATTCAACAACTCTCTGATTTTGTGAATTATCTCCTAACAGGAGAGGAAGAACCAAGGTGAAATAAATTCATTTGTAACTACTGAACTTTGAGAGATTTCTTTAGGCAGAGCACATATTTTTTTCATTCTCTGCTGCAGCTCTAAGCAAGAGGGTAATGGATTTAACTTTTCCTGGCCCATGAGCTGGCTCAGCAGGTAAAGGTGCTTGCCGAAACCAAGCCTGATCCCAGCACTTGTGAGAGTGAGGAGTGACCCCTGCCAGCTGTTCTCTGAAACCCCCCAACTAAATAAAATGTAATTAAAAAATGAAGCTTCTTTTCTCTTTTAAGCCGAAGCCTGTTATTTCTGCTCCATGATCAGGATGCAGTCCCTACCTTTCTCTTATTGTCAAGCATTAAAAACATCTTATGGAGCAGCAGCTGTTCCTGCTTTTGGTCATTCTTCGCCACACCATTGGCTTCACTTTCTGTGAATGAAGGAACAGGAGATTAGGCTAAATGTGCAAGGAGATAAATCCAACTAAAAGCAAGGTTCACATAAACTCAGGTAACACATGATAAAAATCCAAAGTCTGACTGGTGTTTGATGTTCATTGTAAAATTGCCAGAATCTAGAATCCAGTGGAGACAGGCTCCTGGCATGCCTGTGTGGGATTATTCTAATTACAGTAACCAATGTGGGAAAACCCACCCTGACTATGAGGTGTGTGTGTCGGGGGGAGGGCAGGACTAGCGCCTGGGCACGAATCCTGGACTACACAGTAGAGAGAGGGAGCTTAGCCACAGCATGCATCTGTCTCCCTCTGCTTCCTGCTTGGATGCAGTGTGACCAGCTGCTCCAAGCTGACTGACTACCCACTGTAATGACTGTACCTAGAACTGTAAGCTAAAATGAACCCCTTCGCCCTTAAGCTGCTTTTGTCATTTTCTCACAGCAACAGGGAAAGAAACTAAGACAGTATTTACTGGGAAGAGAGAGAGAGAGAGAAATATCCTAAGTATAAAACCAGTTAATTGTATCCACACTTAAACCAAGTGCCAGTTCTCAGCAACCCACATAAATTGGAAATCTTACTATCTACTACATAAGTCACTGTCCAAATTTCAATTAAGTGAACATAACAATGGGTAAAACTTCACGTAAGTATATCCGAGGCATGTCTATGGCCTCGAGGGAGTAGACAAACCAGGAAGTATTAGCTGAGGTTCTTTTCTCCCAGCTACACTAATAATCTCCCTATTGGCCAAATGATTCCCAGGGTATGTGTTCTGTAGACTGGCCTTCTGGGACCATTTTAGTTTATGTTATCATTAAAAACAAGCGGCAACAATGAAACACGGTGCTGCCTTCTCATTTTAGAAATATATGACAGCATTAATGGGCGTTAGGACATAGAAATTCCATCTGGTAACGGTTCTGTCACTGCGAACAAATATTTTGTTCTTCTCCCCTGAAGACATTCGACAACAGTTGGAAACAAGTTTGACTGTCACTCTTGGGAGTTGGTGGATAGTGCTATAAGCATCTATGATTCTGGGTCATCAGGAAGCCCAAAGCAACCAAGTGGTTAGAACTAGTGGAGACAGAGAAAACATAGCCAATTGATACTGTTTTAATTCTTACCTCTGTTCTGTGAGGTTTTGCATTTAAAGTCATATTCATCTTGTAAATCTTCTAGGGTCTTGATTTCCTGCTCTATGCACTGCAAGCGAAGATATAAATGAGCTTCCTAACATCCCAATGGGCCAGCTTTAGAGAACTCTAATCTTTCACACACATATTTTAATAAGAACAGTTTTCAGAGGGTGAGACAAGCCTGCAGCTTCCAGCTGAGGAACATGATGTGAGGTGAAGTAAGCCTTGGTATACCACTTACTGACCAAACCATCAGGATGAGAAAACCAGACCCCAGAAAAACAGAAAAGCAGAAACCAGGAACTTGGCTTTAGCATGAGGAATTTATCTATAGCTGAATGATACATAGTAAAATGCCTGGAATATATGTGGCCTCTTGACCCCTTTGGTACATTGAACTGCACATATAACGTGGCACCTCAGGGGGAGGTGATCAAAGAGGCAGCCAGTGAGTTCATGTCAGAGACAGTTCCTGTTCCCATTATTAGGACACCCACTTGGACACTGAACTGCCATGAATTATATCTGTGCAGGGGTTCTAGATTATCTCCATGTATGGTACTTGTTTCAACTATCAGTCTCAGAAAAGACCCCTGGGCCCAGATTTTTTGGTTCTGTTGCTCTTCTTGTGGACCTCGTGTTCCTTCCAGGTCTTTCATTTCCCCCTTCTTCCATAAGATTCCCTGCACTCTGCCCAAAGTTTGGCCATGAGTCTCAGCATCTGCTTTGATACCCTGCTGGGTAGAGCCTTTCAGAGGTCCTGTGTGGTAGGCTCCTGTCTTGTTCCCTGTTTTCTCCCTCTTCCGATGTCCCTCCCATTTGCCTTACTGAAAGAAAATTGATCATCTGATCCAGGGTCCTCCTTCTTGATTAGCTTCTTTAGGTGTACAGATTTTAGTATGCTTATCCTTAATGCCTTAGTTTTTGAAGAAACTTCAAATACACTATGGCACCAACAATTCTGGATGGTAGCCTTGGACAGCAAACACTATTAGGACCAACAGCCGTTGTACAGAGTAGACCTCCACATGATCTGGCAGACATCCAAATCCCTCCCCCTACAGCTTTCCCTTCAACTCAGGGTCAGTGTGTTGAATTGTATCCCATCTTGTTCACCCAGTACAAGTCTCAACTTTGCCATGAGCTGTATGACAGGTACAGCCCTGATGTGACCTACTTGCTACTCCGTGCTTAGATGCTCACAAATCTTAGTTCCTCTTCTCCATACCCTACCACTGTGGACCCAGCAGAAAGCAGTGGATTGACATCTCACTGCGGCTCTTCAGCCACTTTCTATAACTCTCCCCTGACAAAGAGGACGGACTGAAGACTGGACACTTTCCTTTGAAATGAGGAAGAGAAACTGTGCAGAGTTAAGCTGGGGAGCCCAGATCCCTATCCCTCTACCCCCGTCCCTACCTTCAGGAACTACAGTTATCTTGGGGGGGAGGTGTTCTTAAAGAAATGTCAGTATCAGTTTTCCTGTAGGTCTCAGCCCCTGTGCTCAGTTCTGAGCAAGCTGCAGAAGAGTTTGGGCAGGGGTGACCATGAACAGACAAGTTGATCGTGTGAATTCACGGACAGCTAAGTCTAGAAAGCCGACCTGTAAGACAGTGTGAGTGCCACTGGTATGAGATCCCGAGTCTGTCAGCACTCGGGAGATGAATGTGCTGTCCAGAGCTACAGGAAGGAGAGGCTAGTCCTACTAGCTTGAAACAAGGTGCCCTGGTCAAGCTCCTCTAATTCTGGACTGCGAATACAATTCTGTAGTATTTAGACCTAACGCCATTTCAGAGTCGAAGGACTTTCTCAGAGGCTGTATGTGTTCATTCTGATGAAGCAGAGTGGACTTCAAAGGACACAAGTGGGTACACTCCTGCCCACTGACTCTCCTACTTGCATGTGTTTTGTACCTGCCTTGACTCTAGACCACCTTCACCCTAGGTACCCTGATGAGAAACACTTACTTCTCAGCACTGCGTTCAGACCTCATAAAACTGGATGTCATGAGTGAAAACGTGTTTGTGTTTATCAGAATGTCGTCAGTCCTCTACACTATGAGGAGAACTACGTTCTTCCAAAGGGCAGAGATAACATGCTTCATACAGTGTCGATGTATCTACATCACGAGGACCAGGCCAGTCAGGGATGCTTGGGAGCATTAATCCTGATCCATCTGCAGTGAGTATTTCGTGGATTTCGGAGAAGAGTTGGACTTTTATTTTAACTGACCAGGAAGAAGCTGACTGCAACTCTGAGTGTATGCCCTTCTGAAAATGAATGTCTGCAGACGTGTTAACAAGAGCAAAGTCTTATGAAGCTCCCTAGACTATATGCCCTCTGCCTTCTACTCCAGGAAACAGGAACGGTGCTGGTGCCTCCAAAGCTGCAGCTGTGTGAAGCAGCCCCTTCACAGGGGGTAAGGACACCTTTGTACTGCGACCTCCGGCAGAATCGCCCACCTCAGTCTCTCTCCACCAAAGGCTGCATTTCACTATTATTTAGTCAAGTACTCAACTATGCTGTATCTCTATACTTGCCCAGAGTCCGACAAGTTAGCCTAAAGCAGAAATGAGACTAATTTCTAAGTGACATAGTAATTAATCCTGCTGAGCGGTCTCCCCAGTCTCTTATATTTTTAATATTAATAACATTATGCTTTTAAAAAGAACATTTTCAAGACAAGAAAATGTAAAAATTATCAACCTTACATCACTTGGCTTAGGGTCTAGATTCTGATTTCTCTGTACAATTGCATGCGTGTGGTATGCGTGTGTGTGTGAGGTGCGTGAATGTGGGTGCACACTTGTGCATTCACGTGGGCGCATCCCTCTCTGTGACTCTTCTCTGCTTCTTGAGAAAGGGTCCCTCCTTGAGCCTGGTGCTAGGCTGGCAGCTAGCAAGCCTCAGTGACACCAGTAACACCACAGCACACCTGGGCTACAAGTCTAACTGGCCACACAGGCTTACTGAATGGGCTCTGGGCATTCGAACTCAGGTCCCCATGCTCCTTGGTGACCACACCACCTACTGAGTCAGCTTCCTGGTCCTTCCCTATCACAGCTGATTCTCCGTCACTGATTTAAAAGTTCCATTGTGAAACACACAGTAGAAAAACAACCTCATGGGAAACCTCACCCCTTCCAAGTAAGAAGGGTGAGCTGGGCCGTCCTGGTAGGTTTACCAAGATTACCAGGGTCCTCTTACCCAGACAAGAAACTGTACGCTCATCCTAGAAATAAGCTCATGTGTTTGGGAGCTGATCACCTTTCTATATATTCGTCCTCTGGATTTCCCAGCTATTTCCACACTAAGGCTCCACTATTTCTACTTTAGTGGAACACTTCCCTAATGCTATAGAAGAAAGCTGCTGCAGGAATCTGGGCTCAGGAAGAGTGCTGTCTGAAGCCCCTAAGCTCAGGCCATGTGCCCATTACCTAGACCTCTGGCACTACTGAACCTCTCAGCTGGGAGGCCTTTTCCACAAATATCCTTCACATGGAGTAGGGTGGACATGAGGGGACCCCAGTCATTCGCTTCCATCAACCTTCTTGAGGATTTATCTTAAAGTTGCTGTAGATATTCTAAAAGTGTATCAAGATGCATTTGAATGAAATGGCTTTTGTTCATCTTCTGAGTCTTAGAGAAAAACAGTGGGTCATGCTTATCCTGGAGCCTTGTGTAACTCCATGGAAGCCCTAAGAGAAACGTGGATACATAGGGCTCATAGGTGCAACATCTAATTTGCTGGACAATGAGGGCAAAACCAACCGCGACTACAGATTCCACAAAGGAGAAAAAGAAGCTCAGAATTTAGAAGCCAAAGCAGAGGCTATAAAACACGCAGCTGATCAATTTTCTTACTTCTGGTTTAGAACTTTAGAATGATTTTTTTTTCTTTTCAACTATTAAGTTCAACACTCAGTGAAAACAAAACTTCTTTCCTTTCAAAGTAGGAAAAAGGCCTGTATTCAGTTAGTACTTACCATGACTTGGTCCTTCACATTTCTGACTTTACAGTCCAGCTCCTTCTGCTTATCTAGCATCACAGTGTTCTGAATATTCCCCTCCTGTGCCTTTAAAGGGAAACACACTGTTAACAGCGTCATTTTCTCTGGTGCATTTATTCACTTGGTCACGTTCTGAAGTCCATCATACCTTGTGGCCTGCCTGCCTTAAGACATTACAGATCTTACTAGAGACCCTCCATATGTGTACCAAAACAAAACCCCCAAACCTCATTTCCCCTGAAAAAATGCTGGAAAACTATTAATAAAGCCACAGAAATGTAGGCATACTCATGTCAAGGGCTTGTACAAGTTTCCATTAATCTATGTAGTTTAATGAAGCCATGTTCGCATTATTCCAGGTTTGTAAAATTCTGTACAGAGATTGTACACAAAGCCCAGGAACTGTTAGCCTAAGACCTTGTGGTTCAAAATGTTGTCCCGATGCCTACGGAACCTTCGCCTCACAGTCTATTGGAGATGCAAACTTGGGTCCTAACCAGGTCCTAGCCACCATCTGAATCAGAACCCACTTCAGCTCCAGCCCACTGACTTAGAGGTATACCAAAATTAAAGGCACTGACATTCAGGACTCTGGAACTACTGCTCAACCACAAAATCTATAGTAAATATGAACCTCAACTCTCCTGGGAATAATCAAAATACTCGGGAATCAATGTCTCTGTCCACGGTGGGTAAGCCCTAGTTTGTTCACTTAGTACACATTTGCTTGGGAAATGTTAGGCAATATTCTGGACCTAGCTGTGAGTAGTCAAATAGTGCCTGTATTCAGAGATCCTAATAAAAACGTGTTTGCTATGCCCTTCACAGCACAGACCCTACCAGATTTTACCTCCTATTAGGAAAGTTTGTCCTAGTCAAAGATACAGGTCACAGTATTTTCCCCTAGTGCTTTCGGTTCTTCAAATATTAACCTTTAAAATATCCTATATGTTGTTTTTTTAAACTAATAGATAAAAACATGAAAAATGCATATAGTAATGGTCATATAACACTTCAGTTTATCAATATTGAGTACTATTTGAATCAGAGCAAAAATATCTGTCTCCTCAGTCATATATCATTTCTTCATGGTAAACCACTCAGCACCGAGTACAGCTTGGCACCCACTGGCTTCTGGATTACACAGCAACTGTTACAATAGTTACTAGTGAAACAACACCACAGAGCTGCTGCCTTTCAACCTAAGATCTTTATTCTTTTGTCCCGAGACAATCTCATGTATCCCAGAGAAACCCTGTGCTAAGTAATTAAGGTGACCTTGAACTCCTGAGACATCTCCCTTCCCCCCTCCAAGTCCTGAGGTTATAGGGACGCACTATCATTCCACACTGGAAGTTCATGCTTACATTTAATGTGATCATAGAGTTCTCTATGGTACATTTAGTGGGAGGTCTACAGTTTCATGGTACTCTGTGGCACCATCTTTATAACACAGATTTCTGCACGAGCCTGTCTCAGTTTAACTGTTTCTTCTCATCTATCCATTCGTATGCTAGAACCTCTGAACCATGGTTTATTATGCATGGTTTGCAGTGGGCTACCAGAGCTAGTCCCACTGACTACCGTAGTTTCTCAGACATGCCTTGCTGTTTTTATATATTTATTTTTCACATGGCCTGGATTTTAGAATCAGTTTGCATAAATTTAGAACATAGGTTACGATTTTTACTGGGATCACATAAAGATTATTAATTAACTTGAGGAAAGATAATATTTGATGTTCTTTTGTTTCTTTGTTTTTGTTTTTTAAGACACGATTTCTCTGTGTAGCACTGGCTGTCCTGGAACTCACTCTGTGGACCAAGCTGGACTCCAACCCACAGAGATCCACCTGCCTCTGCCCCCCAAGTGCTGGGATCAAAGGTGTGCACCACCACCACCCAGCTGATATTCTTTTTTTTTTTTTTTAAAGAGTATGAATTCTTTAATTTTGGTCAGTGACCAAGAACAGGTTTAGGTTTCAAAGTCTCTTGGTACAGCCAAGACCTCAGGGTACAGTGTTTTAAAATGAAATAAAACAAAACAACAACAACAAAACCACACAATTACATCATGTGTGGTTGATTACATGGTTGATGGTCAGAGTAACCTTGCAATGTTTGTTTAGGTAGAGCATTTCTGTAGTTATTTCAGACACAACATGATAATTAATTTTAATGTGCATCTTCTTCAGTTACTCCAGTTTAAGTTTGTATAAACATTAATTATTTGATTAATATATCTAGACCACAGACCGGGTGATGGAAATCCCAAATGCACTGCCAAAACCCAGGACATGTTCTTAATTCTTACGTGTTTTGTTTTGTTTGGATTTTTTGGTGTTTTAAAATAGTCTCATACAGACAAGACTAGCCTTCAATGTGTTTGTGGCCAGGAACTCCTGACCTTCCTGCCTCTAACTTAATTCTTTAATTAAAGAACTAATTTTTAAATTAAATTAAAAATATTTAATCCTTGTGTTCTTAGTTTTTCTTTCATAACCGTGTTGCCAGTACCACCAACATGGTACTAATCACAATGGAAACAGCAGTCATCCTTACATGTGTTTCTGACATCCTGGAATTTTTAGTGAAATACTATCTCTAGAACATGATGACATGAAGAAGAGCACATAAATTTTATTTTAGCACATCAATGAGAAATCCATCAATTCTTATTTATAAGATGTTTTGTCAAGAATGGGCACAGAACTTTCTGGCATTTTTGAAAAGAAGCAAAGGCTTTCTCTTCTCTTATCTAGTAAGATAGTGAATTATACTAACGTATTTCTCAGACAAAATCTACATTTGTAACCAGTAATAAACCCTGTTTGGTCATGATAAAGAAGTTTTATGGTGAAACACTTAGTTCTGTCCCATGCATTTTCACTTAGGATTTCCATGCAGACCTTACATAGACATTCCTAAGCAGAACTGGGCTGTCACTGTTTCCTGCCCTGCTTTGATCAAACTCCACAGAAAGCTTTCTTTCATTTCAGCAGAAGTCTGAGACGTCTGACTACGATCAGTATCTGACATATGTGCAGCATGTGATGAAAGGGACTTCCCTGGCCATGCAGAATGAGCCACTTCCTTGTGTGGCTTCACAGCAAGGAGAAATTTGCTGTGATCAACTTGAAAGTCCCCAGATCTGCCATGCTGTGTGCACTCTGTTAGAGCCTTATACCCAACAGACAGTGTTCACCAGAGGATCTTGGCTTCCTGCTCCCCTCCTGAACTACCAAGGGCTAATTTGGTGACCAGGGGTTTGAACAGGAATGCTGGAATATGTATTGCTATGTGCGGCTAACGGAGAAGCCTGGAGATCGAGGTAGAGCCCAAGAATCCTCCTGCTTCAATCCATTCATGGGACTGGTATTTCCCTTTTGCCTCTACTCCTCTGCCCTGACTCTTGTCCTGTTAAGAAGTTGCCTCTTTCAGACCACACTGGCAATCATTTAATGCCAATATCATCAAGAGCACTCTGCATGTTTTATAGTGACACTAATATCAAGTGAGGATATGTTTTGGTTTGTTGTTTTGTTTCATTTTTGCCTTTTAACAACCCAGGAACACTGTAGAAGCAGCAAAGGCAGCAAAGGCAGCAAAGGCATTTACAGTCTTCTAGAGAAATCTGAATTTCTCTGGAATGATAATGTAACATTTTCCTAAAACGTTCCTGCAAAGTCATGGCCAGCCAAGCCTAGGGAGTGCCAGGCTCTCAAAAACTAAGGCAGAGAGTGACAGGGAGCACAGCAAACTTCTCATGTCCTCCTCTGGCCTCGACATGCTCATGCAGACACACATGTACACACAAGCACACATGCACAATAAGGGAACACTTTCTGTGTCAACGTATCTAATACTGTATTCTTAGAATGCTCTGAGCGGACTCAGAATTTTGCACCTTTAACTTGTCCAACCTCTTCAGCTATGCATACCTACACACCTGTTTCATGCACATCCTACTGTCCCTCAACCTGCATTATTTTTGAGCACATACCAGGCTTGTTATCCTACTCGTACATATTAAGGCTGAAAAGAGAATGTTAACCTCAGCAAGCAGGGGGAAATAGCAAAGAAGTGTTAGACTGTGGAATGGGTGTCCGCTGCGCCTTCCATTTTCCCGAGTCTCCGACCCCCACCTCGAAACTAAGACTTTCCTTCACATCCAAAGAGGCAAAGTGTTCAACCCGTAGGTGTCATCTGGGAGGCTCGACATTAACCTCTCCCTAGGATATGTAGATTTTTTACAGGAACTCAAAAGCAGGTAAGCCTTCAAGTCCCAGTGGCTAGCTAGCACGTGGGGCTCGTCAGAAATCGCCTAAGTTGCCATTCCAGGCTGAGGGCCAAATGTGAAAAATGGCACGCCAGTGCGTAAAGGTGGGCAGTCACAGCAGTGTGCAGTGGTGGGCAGTCTGTCCTTCTGCCAAGCTCTGCTTTTAGCTGCCTCGCTAGTCTATCTCAAGTACAAGGAGACCACTGCACACTGCTAGCATGAGAATCCCACATAAATAAAACTTCCTCTTCAGGCTTCTGGCATGCATGCCAGGTGGGAGACAGACATTCTCCTCTAAAGGAGTTGAGGCAGCCAGCTTTTGCTCTGATGTGGAAGTGCAGCTTTGCTCTTTAGGGTAGGTACCAAATGAACCATCCAGCTTGAGTCTGTTTACAGACTTAACACATCAAGGTATTCTCATTGTTGTATGGGAATAATAACTAAATCCAGGGATTGTAGGCTTTGACTTTTGAAAAACCTACTTTCTTTGGAGTTCCTTATATGTCTTTCTCCCTTCTCCACCCTAATCTCTTCCAACACCCCAACACCATGTAAGAGAGAAAGGTTAGTGGAAAGAGAAGGTGTAGTTTTCTTTAGTTACTTCCTGCTGGTTAGGATTCTTAAACGCCTCTATCATACTTCAAACTCCTAACCCCAGGAAGGAGAGAAAGAAGGTTAATAGGGACAGGGGATGTAGACCTCTTCAGCCATAATTCTGTGGTGTGATTCCACTCTTTGCTGTCAGGATACCAGCAGTCCAGTCAAACAGCAAATAGGAACCAACAGCAAACGGAAAAACAGCAAACAGCAGTAGCAGCAGCCCTCTGCTGTGCCTGGGGCAGGAAACAGCAGCAGCAGC